TTTGCTCCTTGCCCTCCTAGGTCGATTAGTTCCCAGGGACTATGAGCATCTCACAAAATGTCCTGTAATGGTGATGGGTCATCTGACCTATTGATTAAGGAGGCCAAGGAGACCCCACCAGATGGACTTGAACCAGTGTCCAGTCTATAAGAAGGTGGGTCAACACAGAGGAATCATTTCTTCCATGCTTCCAAGTGAAGCCAACCATGGTTGAGCAGGACCTTTGACTTATCTATGTGGCTAAACATGGGATTGCTCTGTTACATAATAAGCCATTTCTATTGTATCCCTTTTCCTCTGGCAGTCAATTATCTAGATAGGCCTGGGCATCCACACCCATCTCCCAAGCTTGATGTGAAGTTGGGCGAATGTCTGTCTCTCTAACTCATCTGCAAATGGGATGCCACAGGAAAAGGAAGGCTCATTCCATGCCCCTCTGTAAGAAGAAGTAAATATGCATGCACCCTTGAGATTCTTTGGGAGCCTAAATTCAACCTCAGTTGTGATCCCAAAGCCAGATCTACAGCTAGAAGAGTTGAAAAGAGAAGGTAAAAGAGAAAGGCGAGAGTGTTTCATTTTTCTCAAATCCAAACTTGACTATTTCTCGGCACATCTCAGTGTTCGTAAATGACCAAAAGGAAGACAGCAGTGCTCTGGCAGCTGTTAAGTCTCTCATTTGGCCTAAGTCCGTGACTAGCATTTGCTTTTCAGAAAACAGCTACAGCACCCTCCCATGTGTTCCTCTCTTTATTCCACCCCTCAAACTGAGATGCCTTGGGGGAAAGAAAGCCTCTGGTTTACTTCTGAGGCAGGGGAGGGAGGATGGGGTATAGTGCAGCTAAACTGACACATACATAGGAGAGGCCTGCCCAGCCCAGAGATTGCCAGCTCCAGGAAGCAGCCAGCCCTCCCCCAGCACTTCCTGAGCTATGGCTTCCTCACAAGTTTGACTCAGGCTTGGAATAACACAAACCACACAACCCAGTAAGTTGAGCTGAACTGGGGTTGGAAGAGTTATCTCAAAAGAAAAAAAAAAAACAAAAAACAAAAAACATTTAGATATGTTGCAAAGGCCAGGCATGGAGATGAAGTACCAGTCAGGTCACTCTTGCACCAGTGTGCCGAACCTATGCACACCTAGAAAGTGGATTGGGCAGAAATAGAAAGATAGAAATCAAATAGAACAAGTAAACTTGTGATAGAGCAGGTATGTAGGGGAGCATGTCTGGGGAGGTAGGGTCTGATGTAAAAGGAATGGATCCAGTTTCTCCAAGTTTCCAGAATGGATTACACTCCATTAAGCAACATGAGGATGAATAAAGATAAGCAGGTTCAAGTGGTGTGCATGAGTGTAGGCGTGGAATACAGATCAAGTTCAGGTTCCGTCAGTATATTTTCTGCAATCTCATTAGGTGTCAAATAGACAAAGTCCTTGTCTTCATGTTACTGAAGTAGTTAGGGTCAGAGCCCCGGTCTTTGGCAGCACTAACAAGCTATGCTCTTTCACCTGTACTCAACAGGCCAATTAAAAAGCAGGTAATGGTAAAATAGAGAAAGATGTCTTCATGGTGTCTACATGGGGAAGAGCAATAAACAAGTCCATAGACACCCTCCCCCCAAGTCCACTCTTGGCATTCTGATATGAGGCTTAGGTTTAAATACTTGAAGTTAAGCGATATCCTGATCAAGCTGTGGTCCCAACCCATCACTGACCCATCAATGTCTCAACACCAACCTCTCCTGCAAGGCGATCTGACAAGCTGTCTAAACTGTGGGAAATCTTTTCTTGGGAAACAAGTTCCCCCTTTGGCACCAAGTTTTAGCCTACTCCTTTTTCCATTAGACTTCTGGGAGAAAATTCCAGTTCCTTTGGTGACCACTGAATAGTCTTGACAGGGGCATAAATATCCTTAGAATCTTTGCTCCGATTAGAATCAGAGGTGAAACACACCAAAAATAGCATTAGTCAGCCACAGGTATTGGGGCATGCCAGTAATCCCAGCACTCTGGAGACTGAGGCAGGAGGACTGCAAGTGTAAAATAAGCCTGGACTGCATGTGAAACCCTATCTCACACACAAAAAAGGCATTAGTCTCTCTTCAGGGGTTTACGGATCCCGGAAAATAGGAGATACAGCCCTTCGCCTGGAGGTAACCCGGGCGGTAGTGCGCATAAGTATTTAATAGGTTCTCCGGTCCCGGTTCGCCCCATACAGAATCCGGTGCCTAATCAGTCCCGCTGAGGTTGGAACCATTATATTATGCCCAAGTCCCAGATGTCTCGGAAAAACCTGAGCCCTAAACTTCCTAGGAGAGCAACATAGGCATGATACGCATGCGTGAGCCCACCCGCGTCGCCAAAGTCGGCGCGAAGTTGGTTTTCAGAGCAGTTACAGAGCAACCTGAAGACGAATTGGAGCGGACCGACCAATAAACAAATGCCTCATTGGCCCAGCGAGCTCAGGCCCCGAAAATTCCGCCTTCGCATTGGGCCTTTCGCAGGGAGGCCGTGGCTCCCGGGCTCCGCCCCTCGCCGCGGCCCAGCCTCGGGGTCCTGGGCTGAACGTGCCGACTATCTCGCGGCCGCCCCTGCCGCCTGCGTGCGAGCCGCCTGCCCCGGAGTCTCCGCGCTGCTCCTCGGTGCCGGCCGCGCGCGCCGGGATGCTCTGCTCCTGCTGTGGGGCCCCAACATGGAGACCAAACGCCTGGAGATCCCCGGCAGCGTCCTGGACGATCTCTGCAGGTACTGCTCGCCTCTCAGCCTCCCGGCCGTGTCTGGGGCCCGTGGAGGCCTTGGCTTCCTCCCGAGCCCGGGCCCGCTGCGCCCCGAGGCCTCGGTTCTCTCTCCTGGGTCGGGGCCGCTGCGGCCCGGCGGCCTCGTTTCTCCGTCCGGGTCAGGCCCGAGACCCGCGGCGGCCTCGCCCCTCCCTCCGCGGTTAAGTCCGCCGCGCCCCCGGCGGCCTGGGTTCTCCCTTCCCGTTCAGGCCTTCTGTGCCCCGGTGGCCTCGGTTCTCCCTCTGGGGTCAGGGCACCTCGTTTCTCCCTCCCGGTCAGGCCCGCGGCGGCCTCGATTTTCCCCAAAGCCCGGGGCCCACTTTACGTCCCCTCCTTGCCCTGCTGGCCCCCGCCGCCCCTTTCCTTCCGCAGCGTCCGTTTCCCTTGGCCTTCGGTCCTGGAGCACTGAAATTTCATCGATTTCTTACTACAACTGTTCAGTTTCTCCAGGTGAATCCGCTTTGCCCAAACCTGGATTCCTAGCGGTTTTCAGCGTTCCGTTCATTTCCTCCTCTTTGAAGCTTTTTTGGTTTTGTTTTTTTTCTTGCCTCTGACTTTAACCCACCATTTTTCTTCTTCCTGCCATGGTCTCATTGCCCGAGTCCGTAGGTAGACCCTAGTGTTTTTTTTTGTTTTGTTTTGTTTTTTTTCTTCTTCAGTTTTATGAACTTAAGTACGGAACAGTGTTCAAGCTTAAGCTTTCTTCTGTGTGCTCACCCTTAGCATTCTCCATAAAGAATTCATTATTCTCTTCATCCCAGGATTTATCTAGAGGGAGAAGGAACCACCTAGAGACCCTTTCTTCAATCTGTTAATTATCATACTTGTAAGGAAATTCACAACTACTTGACTTTAACTTCACTTTCTTGTCAGCAGTGATAAGCAGCTTTGCCAAACATATGTGAAGCATACTTGAGTACTTTAACTTATTGTTACATTGTTACCAAGTTGTCCCTGAGTACATGTGATTCTGAAATACTTTAGATTAAAAGTGAGTATAAGCTCTGTTTTCCTTCCCTTCATATTTATGCTTAAAAGTAAGACTCACTGGTTGTGTTACATTCATGAGGACTTAACATTTTTTTGAAAATTTTTATTTATTATTTAATGTGTATGCCTGTATTGTCTGCATGTAGGTAAGTGTACCCGAGAAGGGCAGTGCCTACAGAGGTCTGAAGATGCTGTCGGATCCCCTGGGACTGGAGTAACAGACGGTTGTTAGCTGCCATGTGGGTGCTGGGATTCAAACCCAGGTCTTCTGCAAGAACAGCCAGTGTTCTTAAACGCTGAGCCATCTCTCCAGCTTCTGAAAACATTTTTTAAACAATTCTTTATGTGTCAGTGTGTGGATATACACACCATGTGTGCAGGTGTCTACTGAGGCCAGAAGAGGGGTAGAATCCCCTGGAACTGGAGTTAATAACTGTGGTGAGCCACCTGACATAGGTTTTGAGAGCTGAACTGTAGTCCTCTGCAAGAGCAGCAAGTTCCTTTGATCACTGAGCCCCTCATGTTACTGATTTTTTAAGACAACATGTCCCTGTAGCCCTAGGTGGTCTGGAACTTGATGCGTAGACCAGGCTGACCTCTACCCCTCTGGAATTAGCTATTTTTAATGTTAAGGAAAGAAATATGTTTGAAATTTCTGCCTGTTTAGGCACTGGATGTTCCCTTCACATGTATTGAACAGTAATTTTCATTTTTCATCTGAACAAATATATTTGGAGAATAATTTATGTAAGAACACATTAATTCACTTGGCGTGGTGCCGCGTGCCTTTGATCCCAGCACTTGGGAGGCAGAGGCAGGCAGATCTCTGAGAGTTTGAGGCCAGCAGGGGCTACAGGGAAACCCTGTCTCAAAAAGAGAAAAATAATAAAAAATAAACCACACTTGTCCTGTGATGGTTTGAATGAGAATGTCCCCCATAGGCTCCAAGTAGTTGGGCATTTTGTCCTCAGTTGGTGGCGCTGTTTTGGGAGGTCTTAGAAGGTGTGGCTATGCTGGAGGAAGCACGTCACTGGGGGTGGGCTTAGAGAGTTCGTAAGCCTTGCCTATCTCCAGTTGCTCTCTTGCTTTCTGTACCTGCTTGAAGATGTGGGCACTTAGCTTCCCTTCTCCAGCCACCTCTGCTGCCATGCCTTCCCACCGTGATGGACTCTTGCCCCTTGGAATCGTAAGTTTAAATAAACTCTCCTTTTTATAAGTTCCTTTGGTCAGTGTTTCTATCACAGCAACAGAAAAGTAACTAATACACATCCTAATTCTGAAAATCAAGATGTTTACATCTGTGTCTGGCCAATCAGTGAGCTTTAAGTTCAGCGAAAGACTTTAAGGTGGAGAGTGATTGAAGAAGACACCTGATGAGTTGATCTGCCCATCACACATGTGTACACATGTGCATGCATACCAGCATACACACACCATCAAGATGATTTCAAGAAGATGAACCACATGCGGGAGGCAAGTCTTTAATCCCAGCACTCAGGAGACGGAAGCAGGCAGATCTCTGTGAGATTGAGGCCAGCCTAGCAGCCTGGTCTATATAACAAGTATTTTTTAAAATATATCCCAGGAGTGGGTCAGAGTGTTTTCAAAAATGGATCTAAATTCGATAATCAGACTCTCAAAAAAAACAATAACAACAAAAAACCCACTTTCCTTTGTAACAAAACTTGTGTCAGGTTGATAACTGAAGCTAACTGCTCCAGGCAGACTGCATGTTTATACTGGGTGAGCATGCTGTATCACTGAGATGGACAATTACACTGACTACCAGGATATGTGCAGCCTCAAGCCCCACTTCACCCTTTGGGGATTGCTGTCTCTCATTATTATGAAAGCTTCGTCTAATTTAAAACATCCTCACAGGATAAAAGACCACTTGAACCTGCTTGGACTGGACATTACCAAGTCCAAGTCCTACTTACATTTCCAACTACAGTCAAGCCACAAGGCCTATCTTTGCTGCCCCCAGAAGCTCAGAAACAATCTACTTCTGGAGCCCCTTGGAGATTTCCATCTCCTGCTCTGACCCAGGTGAAACCTCTTAAATACACTTAATTTTAGAGTGGCCAGCGTTCACTCTCATCTCTCTGAATGCTGTAATATAATTTCACAAGCTTCTCTTATTCCTAGACATTCTTCAGGACAGGACCTAATATTTAGGAAGTTTATCCTAAACCTGTTCCTTCAGGAAGATTTCTTAGGCTTTTCTGGATCTCGTTCATCACTTACCCCAAGCAGCATTGCTGGGCTCCTATAGTAGGCATGTTATTTTTATCACCCTCACAATCATTACCATCACTCTTGCAGTCCAGCATGACAGGGAAGGCATGGTGGCAGGAGCATGATTGCATCTGCAGTCAGACCTCGGAGTGATGAAAGCTGGCCCCTGCTGGTACTCCCCTTGCCCACTTTTTCACTACAGAACCTTGGCTCATGGAATACTCATCCCACTTAACCCAGTCTACAAACACAGACATGCCCAGAGGTTTGTGTCCTCGATGATTCTTGATCCTATCAATTTGACAGTATTAACCATCACAGTCACCCTAACCAAGAGAGGATAGTTCCAACATCCTTCCAATGCCTCATGAATACATTTCTTCTGTTACTGCCCTTGTCTGCTGTGCTCCTGCTGTGTACACAGTAAATTGCTTTTTCTACTCTAGTCCGAAGGGTGAGTGCTTTCACCAGCTCACCAATACCCCCACAACCATACATACGTCTTTTATTAAGACACTTAGGTGGGACTGTATTAAGAACCACAAACCCTACTTTGTATGTACTATTGTCCTTAACAGTCACTATCTCTCTACCCCATCCCCCACTACCTAAATCTAAAGCATATGTTATCCATTACTTTTGCTTAATAAATTCACTAACTTTGGTGGTTGACTAGGCCTAAATTTTTTTTCCTGTGGCATAGTCAAGGACCCAACTACCTGAGTGGGCGGAGGGTTGGGGGGCTGCTCTAAGAGTGAATCTCCTTGGGCTTCCAGCCCAAGGTTGTGTTGTCTACCTGATGCATTTCAACAGTTAAATTAGTGACAAGTACTGCATAGAGAAAATGAAGCAACAGCAATAATTATAGTTGTTAATTAGAGACAAATATTAGTATAGGAGACAACAATTTAAAAAAATCACAGTTCACTGTGTTTTAGCTCTAGACCACATTTACTAAGTCATAATGTAAAGATTGACAGTCTGTCAAAAGATGACAGTAAACTTAAAGGCCTTCATTGGCTTTACTTGGTATTACAGAATTAGGTGGCACTTCATTCTGTCAAATAGCATAAGCCAGTGAGCAGAGTAGAAGTTGGTTTTATAGTAAAGAAGAGCTAAAGAAGGAAAGAATGAAAAATAGACTTTTTTTGCAGCAGCTCTCCTTACGAGCTTGCATGAGGTAATGTGGACTACTTGATAAATTAATACCAGTTTTTCTTTGGTGAGGATGAAAGCATAAGGGAGTTCTTCATTTTCTTCAGGTTTCCTCTCACTGAAGCTAGCCTGTGGGGAATTTAGCTATTAGCTGTCTCCTGATTTCCTGGAGAGGTCAGGAAACAACTTGATTTAGGTTTGGTTTCTCCATTTTGATATTTGATCTGTTTAGTTGGAACCTCAAATAGAAACTGTCCAAACAGTAATCTCAAGGGTCCCATAGACCTTCAGTCCTGGCCATTGCTCCTGCTTTGGTTACACACCAGAACTTGATGGTAAGACCCTGTTGAAGACACTATAACATGAGCTGTAGAACAAACAAGGAGAAACAAGCTGGTGCTGACTTCGGATCCTCATCTCTACTGGCTAACATTCACAGTGCTGGAAGGTGCTGTGTATTCCTACTGGAAGGAAAAAAATAATTATCAACTTTACCCAGCTGTGACTCCTGTGAAGGACTACAGCTAACCCAGCAAGGTATGCCACCAGTGCAATAGTGACAGCAATATTATGGGATTAACCAAC